CATTGCTGATGAACAAGATGCTCATGCCTAATAGTTTGACTTATTATTCAATGGACAAGTGTGCAACATATTTGGCAAAGGTGCTCATTCGAAATGTTCGTAGTTGAAGCAAACTCTAAACTACATTACGCCATGATTTTAAGATTGACCTTGGAAGCAATGCATTACGATGCAGTGGTAATGCAGTACCACTGAGACTGCCATGTGTACTAAGCAGTGGTTGCCAATCGAGCGGTATAAACTTGCCGACACGAAAGAAGCTCTCTTACTAAGCCGCCGCCTTCTCCTGTCGTGCGTCCTTACTCAAGACAATAAGAGCAACAATTAATTTAACTATTAAGGGATATCCACTTGATTGTTCACACCATGTCGCGTCTAACTTGCTTCTTGTGCTCCAGAAGTTCACATGTCTCGAAGAAATCACAGTATTCATATGCACTTTTAAGTGTGTGCGAGCAGTTTTATTTAATTGCAGGTCAGCCAACCATTCCAAATGATACGTCATCGATGAAATTCCTGCAAAAACGCATCCTATGGCATGGCTGGTTCATTGCTTAAGTCGCATGACTTTACAGAGAGTAGAGGAGTGGGAAATCAGCATAAAAATGTAAAGTTAATGTGTTATCAAGGGTGACTTAAAAAATTAGCGTGAAGTATTGAACGGCACCCTCTCAGGAAAAGTCATGTGCTCAGAAACTGCTTCAGACCATATTTAAGAGTTAAAATCCACCTTGTTTAGTGCCAGAGAAATTTAAGGAAAGCCACCTTTAATAATTATTGATGCTTTTAAGTTATGAGAGGTTGGAATGGGTTTCGGCAGAATTAGCACTTCGCACAAGTGATGAAGCGCTTTGACGATGGTAAAATCTCTTAAAGTTTTCCACAAGTCAAAAATTTGAGGCTTCACTCACGTGGGCAACAATGCTTGATGCCTCAGTAATTAACAACAAAATCGTTTCTCTTTTCACCTTCGAGATTTTGTTAAAACAGCATAAGTCTTTCAGTACCCAAAAGGTAAAAAGTTTCTCATACGGGATGCAGTCATACGACGCAAAACGATTGATGGTTTTATGTCTGTGGAGGTAACACTTTCATCAGAGCAGCGAGGTCAAATGATGTGGAAGGGACTAACATATAAAGGCGTGGAAAGAGTCAAATAAGTTAGAGTAGTTTACAATTCATTGTTGTCGTTGTCGAAATTGGGGCTGCAAAACAGTAGCAAAAAAATTTGGAGACTTGTCCATGTTACGATATTTCAGACTGGAAAATACCGAACGCTCCAAGATAAAAGGCTGTAGGCCTCACAAATGCGCATTAAAAATTGTTTCCAAGATTTAGAATATTCTCCTTTGGTGCATTTTCTGTATCGAACTTATCAAGGCAGACACTAAACTGACAATATAAAGAGCTCACGGTTCCCGCTGACCTTATGACTGGGTACTGTGTCTCTCGACATTCACCTTTTACTTCATCCTTACAAATGATGCCAACAATTAGAAAGAACCATAATCAATCTGAGTAGTAGATCGTATTTAACTACTCCGTTAAGGAGAGCATTGGGGTTTTTATCGTCTGCGCAACAACATGTCAAGTGAAGGGCATTGGCAGTGCTTTGAGGATGTCGGGCAACTAAGCAAAATTCATACCTATTAATATGAAAGTGAATGAGGCTGCTGATTTGGTGATGAATGGGCAACTCGTCAATGGAAGCATCAGGTTATTTTGCGTGTCCATTGGACGTTTAGCCGCCACGATTTTGCGCGCACCAATCGCACTTGTCTGCGCGTTTCACTCGGCAGTTGAGGTTGTTTTTCTCCGCTGTGAGTGTGAGTAACGTTTCTCGCATTTCTTTCCACACCTAAAGATGG